GTTAGTGCCGCTCTGTGGCCAGTGTCCTTCGAGCTCTGATTTGGATTTCTTCTCTGCTAGTAAGGTAGGACTCTGTCTTTGTTTACTTTCTGTCTTGGACTCAGTTGAAACTGTTGTAGTGTCTGCTAGTTTCTGTTAATCAGTAGTTTCAGGTAGCCAATCAAGTGTAGTTTCGGTCTCGCTGAAGGTGTAAATTAGGGGTGGGGCTAACTGAGTTATATTGAAGGTGAGACCGCCACAGACACACGTGTGTCTGTGGCGGACTCACCTTCAATCTAACTCAGTTAGCCCCACCCCTAATTTACACCTTCAGCGAGACCGAAACTACACTTGATTGGCTACCTGAAACTACTGATTAACAGAAACTAGCAGACACTACAACAGTTTCAACTGAGTCCAAGACAGAAAGTAAACAAAGACAGAGTCCTACCTTACTAGCAGAGAAGAAATCCAAATCAGAGCTTGAAGCACACTCTGGGTCTTTGCTCGCAGGTCTGGAAGTGAGCATCTGCAAGCCAGAACAGTGGAGACTAAACCATATTAAAAGAGGATAGGGGATCTCCAGGTGAAAACTGTCAGAAAAAAAACTTTATGTGATGCGATATATGAATAATAAGTGTTTTTTAGGAATCAAAGCATTATATTATATACTGCTCAAAAAAATTAAAGGATCACTTTGAAACATCAGATCTCAATCGGAAAAGAAATCATGCTGGATATCTATACTGATATGGACTGGGTAATGTGTTAGGAACAGAAGGATGCCACATCGTGTAAAGGAAATTAAATTTATCAACCTAAAAAATTATGCGGCAGAAGATTATGCAGAAGAAGAGGTTAAAAGATTGGAACTGCTTCATAAAATTTTACCTACACAAAGCAATTGGAATCTTCTAACTGGTGGTAGATCTAAATTAAACTTGGACTATTCAGAACATGTACAAAAATTAATAACATTTAGTAAGCAAAGGTTTTATCAATATGGAAATAAACCTAGTCATCTTTTAGCATATCAACTCAACTGTGAACGAGCTGAAAGATCCATTAAGGCTATTAATACTACTGAGGGAGTAATTTCATATGATCCAATTAAAATGAACTCCAGTTTCAAAGATTTTTATGAGAACCTGTACACTTCCTTATGTGCATCCCAAGACCCCACCAGTTTTTTGGATAAGAT